ATTTTATAAAAAATTTTAAAAATGATAATACATAGTCTAGATTTTCCCCTGGTTCTGGTATTACCTACCCCTTTGCTCTTTGAAGCTTTATTGTTCAGAAAACACATCTATAAATTGTTATTCATTACCTTGGTCAATTTCATTTCAAGCACATGGCTGCTATGGATCCGACTGTCGAAGTGAGCTACTTCTTTGGAAGATGACTTAACCTTGGCGATGATCTTCACATAGGAGAACACAATCACAGCCGTTGGGAGCAACAGGCAGAAGAAGAGGATGTTCAGGATGAAAACCTGGCCCCCACCTGAGGCCTGAGCCAACCACCAGTCCAGAGTGCACGAGGTTCCGAAGGGCTCAGGTGCGTAGTCCCCCAGGCCCACTAAGGGCATGGTGGTCCAGAAGCAAGCATAGGCCCAGATGGCAGCCAGGCAGATGTAGGCGTGCTTTCTCTTCAGCCAGACCCCTGGAGGCGGAACAAAAGTGTTACTCCTATGTAATCTGCTCTGCACCCAAATACCTCCCCTCGACATGTCAAATTCCACCTCCAAAGATTTATTCCACTGAATTCTGGGAGACGTGGGCAGATAATTGAAGCCTGAGGGAGAGCGAAGTAAAGGTGGGGGGAGGTCCAGAGCTTGGGCCTTTCTCCAGGAGGATGAAATTTGAAGAGATTTCACAGAGAAAGCTTTCTCTAGGCACCTAGGAGCTTTGGGAGGGAGAAGCAACAGAGGCTGGGAAAGGGGATGGTAAAAACAGGATAGGGTACTGAAAACAATGGAGGATCTTGGGAAAACATCTCAAGAGTACATGTTAGTGGGTTGTCCAAGGAGCCAAACGAGAATCCTTCCCAGGAGGTGAGACATCACAAAGCATTGATTTGTGTCTTAAAATATCCTTCTTCCCTAAAAGCTTCTGTGTGTCTAATCCCTTTGGTCTTCCTAAGAACCTGTTAAGTCAGGTTTGATGGTCATGATCCTGATACCATAGTGTGAGCTAAGGGGCTTGATCGTGCCAGGGAATTCATGCAGCAGATTTTTGAATATTCAAAGGTTATTCACAAGACAGTTAAGCTCACATAGCCATAGTGGGATAGAGGTAAACAATCTAATTGAGTTGTGTCACGTGCTGCAAAAGTAATTCTGTGGAAATGTCTAAAAAGTAAAAGAAAGAAAAGAAAAAGAAAAAACTGAGCTCTATTTTCAGTACTAGTTCCTTAACCAAAAAAAGAATTCCAAGAGGAAGAAGTGCAGTCATCTAAAAATACAAAATAAAGAAGTCATGAAGCACTAGGATCCCAAAGTTCAACACAGTCACCAAAGCCAAGTCAGCCAGCTCCTATGCAAAGGTCACCATGGGAAACTTCCTCCACAGTTCACCCATCACAGCAGGGAAGAGAGCCAGGGGAGCGGCCCCTTACTGCTTTTGTTGTATAGCGGCAGAGAAGCAACATCAAAATACACTGAATAACAGCTGAATTATTTCTTCCTTATAGACTCGGGGTCTCCTGCTTTGTGCAGTGTGAGATTTACGTCAGTAAGACCTCAGTTCTGGTTCTAGTATTTGATTCCGATCACATCACCTTTCTAAATGTTCAGTGTTCTTAGCAGTAAGGGGAAGGTGTGATAGCATATTGCTTACAGGATTGTTTGTGTGTTTGCTTGCTTGCTTGCTTTGAGACACCGTCTCTAGCCCATGTAGCCTAAAACCCACTATGGAGCTAAAGATGACCTTGAACTTCGAATATTCCTGCCTTCACCTCCCAAGAACTGGAATTAAAAGTGTGTACCACCATGCCTAGTTTATGCAGTGCTGGGCATAGAACCCAGAGCTTTGAGCACTCTACCAACTGAGCTACATCCCCAGTCCTTGCTTAAAGGTTTTGATGAAGCTTAAATGAAACACTGTCAGTTTGCAAACTGCCAAGTGGTACATTTACATGGATGTTTAAGCCTGTGTATATGTATCTTGTTTAGCATTAAGAAATAGAATTGCTTCCATACTCTGTTGTCTACATTTCCTCAAATGCATCACATTGTACATCATGAAAATGCAAAGTCTTCAAGCCCAACCATAGAAGGATAGCGCTCAGGTAGCCACAAAAATCTTTCAGCTCTTGGTCATCCATTACAATGCATGAAACACTGGCAGCCACCATCACATATATCCATGAAAAGTGCAGAGGCATACGGATAAGCATTCATAGTGAGGGTTACTTAGTGAAGTGTTTTATACTTACATTCGAGTGTGGTGAAAGGCTGTCAAGTACAGGAGGGAGTAGATTAGTAGATTGGTTCTGTGTTGCTCCAGAAGTCAGAACTAGGACCAATGGGTGGAGGTTACTGGGAGGCAGTTTTGTCTCAATATAAGGAATAACATTGTAACAATGAGAGCAGACCAATCAGAGAATGGGCTGCCTTGTGCAGTAGTAAGCTCCCCGTCACTGGTCACTGGAATTATTCAAGAAGAGGCCAAGTGGTCATCTCTCAGGGATGCCTTAAAACAGCTTACCATGTTACAGGGTGGGACGATCTGCATGTCCCCAAGTGACCTTTTAAATTCCAACGAGCTAGAACACTGTGTGAAGGGTTTAATAGTGCATCAGATTAAATGACGAAATACCACTGAGGTTCAACTTTGAAGAAGCTAGAAAATATACACCCTCCTTGTATGGAGTTTATGCCCTGCAATGATTCTGATGATGAGCAGCTCCTCTCTTTGGTTGACACAAAGCTTAAACTCAAGAAAACATTGAAAAACAGAGACATCAAGCCTTAGTATTTCTCAAATGCTCCCAGGAAGTTGAACTTTTTGCCTTCTTGCCTATAAACCTATGGTTCAACTAAAAACCTGTTTGTTGTGATGAAAAATAAGATTGTGGAAAGAATTAGACTCTGGTGTCATGTAAATTATGGATAATTGTGTGTTCTTATCTTATTGGAAATTTTGACTCTGGCTATTTCTATTGGAAGTTTTAGATGTTTAAGGAAGGGTACAATTTTCTTTTTATGAGTGTTGTATTGTAAAGACAGCTTTTCACAAACACCTTACCCCTGACCCTACTCTATGTATGGTGTCCTTAAAGCTTGAAGAATGTAAACTTTGTAAGCACAAAGGAAAACTCTACCGTATAGGGAATGCCAGGGGCTGCTTGATCTCAGTTTCCCGGCCATACTGTCTCTCCATGGTCCAAGACTCTCCACCAAATGAATTGGCAATCCAAGAAGCTTCATACCAAGGAGTCAGAACCACTCCCTGGTTATGTCTTGTTCTCAATATTAAGTATCCAAAAGTTTCTCTTTTTGGCTCAATAAACTCCCAGAATCCCAAGAACCAAAAGTACTAAAACTTTGTTTTCACTTGTACCATAGTCTAATCTTAAAAAATACTATATGCTCTGAAAACTTCCTTACTGCTGAATCACCAGTTCTCAGCCAGCTGCCCTCTACCTACTAACACTACAAAAGACCGGTAGTTCTGTAAGTGTATCTTTTCGTGTAAGAACAACTGTACGGCTTTCTAACCCTGAAGATCATTCTGGAATTCCTCATGGGTGAATCATAGGAAGCTTGGGTCCTGAAGGAGAATCACAAACAGCTTTCCTTATAATTACACCTCCTAAGTAGGTCATCAGCTAAATATCTCAGACCCGGCACCTTTTCCTTGCTTGTTTGCATGAGGAAATGTAGAAGACATTTACATACTTTATACAAGAAAGTGGGATCTTTAAAAGGCATAGACATCATTTCAAAAGTAGTGCTAAAAGAAGCCTGCATCAACACAGGTCAAATCTAAATGCATGGCAGAACAAGATAGACTATTAATAGAAATACTCTTGGTTGCTGAGGTTATTAATAATCTTTATTTACTGTATAAATATATGTACAGCTCTGATACTCAAAACATCTAACTTTGGCTATCAGCGAATGAGGAGCCTTCCAACTTACCATAAGATAAATAGCAGATTTTCAGGTATCGATCCAGGCTAACAGCAGTCATGGTAATAAGGCTTCCACAGCCGAAGAAAAATCCAGCCCATCCATACCAGCGGCAACCAAACCAGCCAAACACCCAGCGGTGGCAGAAGCAGGAGATGATGGTAAATGGTTTGCCTACAACTAGAGCACCAAGTAGGGTTCAAGGCCAATTCGCTGCAGTTAAAACTTCTCCACTTATCACCTCACCTGGCCCCTTCTCCCCACAGGCATATTTCAAAATGTGAGCATGCACACACATGTACATATACATGCACATACTTCATTACACAGAACTTCTAGGTTAATGAAATGATGGCAGTTGGCTAGTGGTCCACCATAACTAGATAAGACCCTACTGTTGCTGATACCACATGACTTGGACACAGGACACAAAAGGATCAAACTGGAACTGGGCTGAAAGTTTCCTCCCTGCTGGGTAAGCCTCATGGTGGTGGAAGGTGCTATACAGACTGCTGGGAGAGAATTGTCATCCACAGTCCTATTCAACTGTCAGTGCTGTGGGCAACAATACTGACCAGCCAGACAACTTGAGCCCACTGGTACAATAGTGGCCTGACTGCTGAGGCAGTTTTTATCGGCCTTAGGGCCTGTGCCATAAGAGAAAATACCCATCTTGTTCTGTAAACGCAACCAAAAGCCCATGTCTTGAAGCATGTGCACATGTGCATGTCTCTCTGTGTATATTGCTATGAAGGTAGGTCAGTTGAGCTGATGATAACACATTGAACAACTAGGGCTCAATCTTTTAATCGGGGGGGAAAATCATGTTTTATTTATGACCGTTTTATGACTTTATTTAATGTTTAGATTTCTTTTAGGACACTATGTGTTATGAAAACAGAAGGGGGACTAGTGGGAAGAGGAAGGAAAAGGGCAGCAGGATGTGCTGGAGTAAGTGAAGGAGCACAGGAAAGAAGAATCAACAAAAATAAACTGTGAGGGAAAATCCCATAAGGAAACCATTACTTTGTATGTTATTTTTTAAATATTTATTTGTATTATTTTTATTATTCTTTTATATGTGTAAATGTAATGCCTAAATGCAAATAAGTGCACCCGTGTGATGCAATGCCCTCAGAGGTCAGAAGAGGGTGTTGGCTCCCCTGGAACTGGAGTTACAGACAGTTGTTAACTACCACGAATCAAACTTGGGCCCTCTGCAAGAGCAGTCAGTGCTCTTTACCACTGAGCCATCTCTCCAGCTCCTGTATGTTATTTATTTTAATAATAAAAATTGTTTAGCAGCCATTTCTTAAATTATTTCAGCATGCGGGTGCTAGCATCTGCCCTACCCAGGTGCACAAGAGTCCCTGTTCGGCCATTTACTATATGTTTACTGTGCTTTCTGTCATCTACACACTCATCATCTTTAGTTTTCTATAGTGCTGAAGTCTACACTGCCAGCCTGAGCACCCTCAAGACATCCTCTTAATCCTAGTCTGATCCCATGGTCAGTGATGAAACAGAGTGTAAGGGTTGTTCTTCTACTCAACAAATAACTATTCAGTGCCTATGAGTAACAAGCATAGGAAAGGGGGCTGAAGGATAAAGTGGAAATCAGATCGCCACATTTTTATCCTACGAGAGAAAGCAAACAACAAAATTTGTATTATAAGACATTAGGTCTGGGTTGCCAAGATGCTTCAGTGGATAAAGGTACTTGCAGCCAAGACAGATGACCTTCATTCAATCCCTAGGACCCACAAGGTAGAAAGGGAAAGCCAGCTTCCACAAGTTGTCCTCTGGCCTCTGTATTATGCGTGCCATGGCACATTGGTGCACACATACACATACTACATGCACACATACAGCCACACAAAATAAATAAAACATAGTTTTTACAATACTAGGTGTGACAGAGGCTGAATGTGGTGGTATATGTCTGTACACAGGACATGGGAGAATGAGGCAAGAAGACAATAAGTTTGAGGCCAGCCTGGGCTACGTAATGAGATCTTGTCTCAAAGGGAAAAGAAAAGGATGAGAGAGAGAGGAGAGAGAGAGAGAGAGAGAGAGAGAGAGAGAGAGAGAGAGGACAAAATAATTATCAGGGTGAAGGCAAATAAAGATAGACACAAATGGTTGTTTTACATACAGACTGACATTTAGGTAGATGCCCAAATTGATGACTGAGAAGCCAAGCAAATATACAAAAGGAAAAAACTACAGGCAGAGGAGACGGTGTACTCAAAAATTCTGAGGTGAGTTCCCTTGAATAGAGAGCAAAACCAAAAAAAAAAGACAAGGAGAAATCCAAAGGCTAGCTTGTGATAAATTAACTTCTAGAATGGATTTTTGCTTCATTTTGTGTGTGTTTCTCTTTGTTTCATTTGGGGTTTGACTGCTTGTTTTGTGATTGTTTCTTTGGTTTGGTTTCATTTGGGCTTGGATTTCTTTCCCCTGTTTTTTGGAATATTTGCAATTTTCCTCAATATAATTTGATGGTGTTTAGACCCCTCCTCTATCTGGACCTCCCCTTATTGACCCTGTGCCCAATTTAATGTACTCTATCATCTATATAGGTCATATGTGTGTATATATATATATATATGTGTGTGTGTGTGTGTCTGTGTCTCTGTGTGTGTGTGCCATATATATGGCCTATAGAGTCTAATTTGTGTTTCCAAATGTCCTTCAGTGTAGGTCCAGCCACAGGAGGCTGGTTAGCCTCCTAAGAATCCAATGCTTGAAAGAGACTGTCTCTACCCCTCCCAGCAGCCATCTGTTGCCACAATTTCCTAAGGTGGGGTTGGAGCTTCTTACTTCCTCATGCCTAAGCTGGAATTTTTTTCTTGGTTTGAGCTTGTATGGGACTGTGCATGCTGTCAGAGTTGCTGTGAGCTCATATGAATAACTGATCAGCTGTCTAGAAAACTCTGTTTCCTTGCGATCATCCACCACCTCTGGCTCCTACAATTCCGCCCCCTCTTCTGCAATGATTCCTGAACCTTGGGAGGCAACAGTTTGATATAGGTGTCCTATTCAGAGATAAGCATTCAGCAGCCTCCTGTTCTCTGCACATTGGCCAATTGTGTGTTCTGTGTTAATCTGTTGCGTAAAGAAACTTCTCTAGTGAGAATTAAGAGATGCATTAATCTATGGGTATAACAACAGGTCATTAAGGGTCTCCTTATAGTCCTAGCTGGCCTCGTTCTCACAGAGATCTACCTGCCTCTGCATCCCAAGTGCTGGGATTATAAGCACATGCCACCATGCCAGACTTGTTTTTGAGACAAGGTCTCCTGTAGCCCAGGCTCATTAGATAGCTGAGGATAACAGGATTAGATAACAGAGGATGACTTTGAACTCCTGATCTTCCTACCTCCGCCTCCCAAATTCTGGAATTATGAGTGTTTACCACCATGCCCAATTTTGAATGGAGCTTTTAATAAGACTCGGGGATATCATCTGGAATCCCTCTCTGCCATTGTCTGTTTTTGTTTTGTTTTGCTTTAGATTTCAATGTCCAGGACTCTACGGATTGAATTTATCTTGAGAATTCAGGCATTCATCTCCTTTTTCCAGCTCTCAAGGTCACTCTACTACATGTGCTGAAGTGAGAGCCATTGGTCCACAAACAGCCAGCATCAGATAGGGTATGCTCCTTCAAGGGTGTTTAGAATGGAGTACAGTTAGGCAAGAAAAAAAAGAAAAAATTTTAAGATTTATCGTGGATTCTCAGAGTGAGTCAGATTAACTAAAGAAAAGTTAAGTGGAAGGAAATACTTTCTGATGGATTGCTCTCAGGGTAGACTCAGAGGAAAGAAATAGTCGGGGCAATGTCAGAGCAGATTTGAAAGATTGGGAATATTTTCAATGTATCAAACCAATTAAGCCTTATCTGATTCAGCCTTAAGAATGAGCCTAGTATTACTCAGTGGTAAAGGATGTAGCTAAAATGGCACACTTCATTCAGACAGATGTTTTCAGTACTAGGGAAAGAGTCTTTCAGGCTCCAGACTGGGTGAGCCTGCAGAGAAAGCTGCATAATTTCTGTTGCTCTAGCGCCATCGTGTGGCGGTAGCTAAAATGGCAGACACTATGCAGCCTTGCAAATCCCCTGGAGTTCATCCACTTGACACCAAAGGGCCTACCATACCACGCTGTGTTCTTCTTATCTAACTGCACATCTACCATAAGAGCTTATGATGCTGAAGCCTATGGTCACCGAGTAATGCCTTCCCAAACAACCAAAACCAGACAAACTGTCAATAAAAGGGTAACGTATCTGCTGTTTAATATTGTAGTCATTCGACAGGTAGAGGATTAGTACTGAACTTGATTGTTATAAGCTAGCAGAAACACGAAAAAAAATTCATTCATAAAGGGAAGCACAATATTTAAAAAATCACTTTAAAGCCAAGGCTTTAAATAAGAAACTGATCAAGGTTCCTGGTGGTTAAGAGCAAACATTTCAAACATTCCCCAACTCTCATCTAACAGATGTTGGAATCCAAAGAAAATGTTAGAATACCAACTCTGGGATTCTATGGAAGGAAAAGGTGAGGTGTGGCATGCCCAGAATTATTCTTTTTTTAATGGATTATAGTTAAATAAAATTTGTATTCCAGCTTTTCCTTGCTGGGTTATCAGTCTAAGAAGCAAGAAAGAAATCAGTAGCTCTTGATTTTGTTCACATAGTAACTTACATGGAATTCTTGTGTTTATGCACGTGTAAGTATGGGGGGTATATGTGTGGGGGTCCATGCACATGTGAAGGCCAGACATCAGTGTTGGGCATCTTCCTCTGTTACTCACCACCTTCCATTGGGAGACCAAGGTCTATCACTATACCTGGAGTTCACCAGTTGGCTAGACTGGCTAGTCAGCCAGTGCCCTGGATCTTTCTGTCTCCACTTCGCAGTGCTGGAATAGCAGGTGTACACTGTTATGGGTGCTGAGGAGCCAAACTCATGTTTGCATAGCAAGCAATCTCCTCAGTTCTCTTACCCAGGATATCTGATTTTAAATATCCTAATATCCAGGTAATATTCTCAACCACTAAAATTCCTGGGTGTAGAATTTGTATTTTTTAAGTGTCCACAAGTAATTTTTTGTGCAGTCAACTTTAAGAACCATGGAACCGGAAGTTTCCTGTACTTACAATCAGTCCTTAAGGACTGATCTAAAATATGCCACTAGTAAGGCAGCTCTCCCCTCTCATAGTCACCTGCCAACTGTCTTTGGCTGTCATTTCCCCCCGAGATTCCATCCTCTTACTGTTTATTTTCACCAGACATTCATGCTGAAAGAGTTGTCATGTTACTCAAAGCAGTGACCTATAGTTTGCCTGTAAGTTTCTAATTTCTGAAACTGTAGCCTGATACACTCTGCGATATATAAGAGTTGAGATCATGTGTTGTCCCAAATTGTATCCTCAACACTTAACACACCTGCGACATTGAAAGTACTCAATAGGAGGCTGGAAAAATGGCTCAGTCAGTAAAATACTTACCACATAAGCCTGAGGACCAGACTCTAGATCCTCTGCACTCATGTAAATGCTGGATTGCCAGCCTTTGGGAGGTGAAGATAGAGCAATTCCTGGAGCAGCTGTGCTAGCTAGACTAGCCAAATTGGTTAGCTTTGAACTCATATAAGAGACCCTGTCTCAACACATAAGGTGGAGAAGAATCAAGGCAGACACCTGATGTTAGTATCTCCACATGCATGCACACACACACATACACACACACATGTGTACACAAACACACAAGCAAATATTTGTATGCATACACACAGGCTCCACAAACATACACACATAGAATGAGAGAGAAGGAAAGAGAGAGGCAGAGAAAGAGAGGGAGGGAGGGAGAGAGAGAGAGAGAGAAATATTCAACAAAAACATCAGGCCATGCTGGAGAATGCCTGTAATCCCAGCACTCAGGAGGTGGGAGCAGGAGGATGAAGAGTTCAAGGCCATCCTCAGCTCCATGCAAGTTGGAGACTAGCCTGGGCTACAGGAGATTCTATCTCAAAGGCAAAAAAAAAAGGAGAAAGAGAAAGAGGGAAAGAAATAAAGGAAGGACGGAAAGGAAGAAAGGAAAAGGAGTGGAAAGGAGGAAGGGGAGGGAGGGAGGGAGGGAGAGAGGGAGGGAGGAAAGAGGGAAGAAGTGAGGGAAGAAAAGTATTCAACCAATGTCAAATGACCTCTTTAGCAGACAGCATTTCATTGACTGTCTACACACACTGAAAATATGTTTTGTGATGGGACGAAAAGAAGCAAGTGGGAACAAGAGTGATTTCTGAGCCAATGAGTGATTTAGAATGGCTAATAAGTTGAACCCACAGAGAAGGAACAGCATGACTGTGTTACCTGATATCCCCAGATCACAGACTGCTAAATTGATAGTCATTATTTCAGCAGGTCTCAACTTCTTCTTGCGTCTAGAAGACATATAAAGGACATACCCATTTCCAAATGTGGACAGAATCCCTACAAAGAAAAATAAAAATTCCCATTGTTAAAATAAGAATTAGGGTTCACTTGCATACGATACACTTCTCAATTTCAAAAATGGATACCATAGATTTAGAGGGTAATGAGAGGACACTAAATAAAATCTAAATTAAGAAGATGAAATAAAAAGCATGAATTGTGAGTGACAGGCAAGGGATGGGTTGCCTTGAAAGGGATAGGAGTTAGGGATTATAAGACTGAACTTACCCAGGTAATGGAACTGCTAGCTTCCCAGTTAGGCTCAGGAGGAGGTGGGAATCCCAATGGTCAGTTCTTGTACTGGCCCCCAGTGTAGAGTATTTTCCTCAGCCATTTTTATAAATTATTGGCGTTATAGAATTCCCTCCCTGGGATAAGTGGGATCAACCCCTCAACTACTAATAAATCCTGAAGGTGAAGCCAACCAACAGAATTGACTCCAATGTCACTGTGGGCTCCTAACAGAGCACCAACATGCAGGACAGGTGTGGTCAGAGATGGATGTTGTGATCCCTTTGGAGGAAGGGGTCTTCTCCTGGAAACAGGTCCAGGATTTTGCCTCCTGAAGTGGTATAGACCCTAGATGTCTGGAAGACAGGACGCCTTGTGCTACTACTGGACTAGGTATCAAGGGTAAGTGTGTAACAGTTGGTGACATGGGCACTCCCCCTCCCACCAAGGGGAGAGAAAGTGACCCTCAACCCACCAGACCTACCAACAGTGACAAATATGTGTTCCCACGTTTTAATATTCTTTTATTCATGACTCTTTGGCTTTGGTATTACAATGAAACTGTTCAAAAGTTCTTACAAGCCCAGTTTAAATCCAAAAAAGACCCAATATCTACTGACTGTATTTAAGAAAAGAATACACCTACTTCCATAGCTTAACATGTAGAGTAGATTTCCTCAGGAATTCTTGCTTCATAGTGTAGCTGTGTATAAATGAGAATCTGGTACAGCTGCCTTTAGTAGTAAGGAATAAGGAGAGTATTAACAGGAGAAACCCAGAGCTTTCCATTTTAATTTCTATTTTAATTTCTCCACCACAATTCATTTGGGGGGCAGGGAAAGAATGTGTGTCTCCACTGACGGTATGAAACCACCAGGATCTGACTGCATTGTGCTCCTTAGGAAATGTTGACTCTCTGGAGTCAGAGAAGCTTAATGGACCATTCAAAGCCTCTTTAGATTTCTTAAAGCAAAAGAGGAGAAAAATTGAAGAAATCGTGGGGTCTTAGAGCAAACCAGCTGAAGTGAGACTTGAGTCTCATACTAGGAAACCATCTAGCAAGGCACACTGGGAAAGGAAAGGGTGAAAACACAGCTCAAAAATAATAAAGCAAATTCTATCTATGTCATGTCCAAAAAGATTAAAAACAGTAAGATCCACATGCAGTCAATACACAAAGTTAATCTAACACCCTTTGCCTGACAGCATCTCTTTTGAGAATATGTTTGCTTACTTTTGTTTCCTTAAATTTTTACTAACCCTATTTCATAGGGTTTCATCCAATCATGATTTAAAAAATAGTCAACTCTGTTCGATGAATGTCTCATTATTTCCACAAGCAACCTTGTCTGTAGATGAGTGTTAAGAGAAATCAAATTTATTTTTGACACTAGTTAAAGGAAAACAAGATTAAGAAGATAGAGACTATGGGGGTGGACATTTTTAGCTCATCAAAATACTGTATCTTCTGCAAATAGGAAAAAAACCCTCCTATGAAGGCATTGATAAAGTAGGTGTCTACACAGAAGAGTGGAGAGTGGAAAATGGGTCTCAAATGTATTTCTCCTGCATTCCAAACTTGGGTTTATGTTTTCATTCTTTGGTTTCCCCTAAGATTCCTAGTATTTAGCAAAGATGACCAAGAATGTCGTTTATTCCACTCTGACTTCTTAAAAGGAATCTAATCAAGTCTACATAAGCCCACCCTAAGAGAAGGTGACAACCAGGCATGGAATCAAGCCCAAGACCTGGGCCTAGGATAAGTGAGAGCCCCTCCAGATAATCCTTGCCTCATCTGGAGCAGCTGTTCTGTGACTTAGGTTTGCCTCCCCATAACCTCCCTGATTCATTCTAACATTCCCTTGGCTTTTGAGACCTGATTGTCAAGCTCAATACCAACACTTAAATATGATTGTGATATTCCTTCCAACCCAAAACATATCAAGTGAGAATTTCTCTGCCTTTCCCCACTGAATCTGGTTGCCTCTCATGTTAAAACCCTTCTGCTAAGAGGGGAATAGACTATCAGTCCTCCCTCTGTGACATTGTCTAGAGAAATTAGCATCTGGTTAAAGATGCTGTTTTCAATTCATTCCTTGCAAGTGATTGAGATAATTTCGATTCAACTTATGAGATGCTTACTTATCTGCCTTTTCTGATCATTGGGTTTTATAAAAATTCAATGTGGATTTCATTCTGAAACAGTCTGTTCCAGCAGAGCGCTTAGCATTTTATTTACTGCTCTATTTCCCAGCCACTTAAGAATAGAGAAGAGTGAGTGCTTCATATATTTGTGTTTGAAAGGGTAAATTTAAATTAAATGAAAATTAATAAAATGCTCACAATAAGTACAAGGACCCAGGAAATTATTTTGCAGCAAAATATCTGATTCGGTCTCATAAATTATTTTCGCCTCAAGCACTGACCATAGAGGGATCTCGAGAATTTTCTAATGAGTTTTTCTAATTTCAGGAATTATATGAAATTCTTCACCAGTAATAAACAGATGAGAGAGGGGAAGAGAGAGAAAAAGGGAAGAGAGGAAGGAAGAAAGAAACAAAGGAAAAAGAGGAGATTGAGGAAGTAGGCTTGAACCAACGTCTGAAAATATTAAAAACAGGTAAACCCAAAGATATAACCCACCTGCACACTGGTCACCCAAATTTAAGATGGTAACTTTGAATTTAAGAAACATTGTCGATCTTGATTGTCTACATTAATGTAGTCCAATAGAATATAATGTAAGCCAGAAACGTAAGCCAAATATATTTTTTTTCTGGTAGCCACATGAAGCAAAATAAAAGCATATAGGCAAATTGGCTTTAATAATTTAATGCTTAATCTAATCTATCCACAAGATTATGCTTTCCACAAGTATTTGGCTTTTCAAATTATTAATGTTTTTTAAACGCTTTTCGGGTACTAAGATTTCGGTATGAAGTATTTTCACTACAGCACACTCATTTGGAAGTTCATGTGCTCAGAAGCCCCATGTGGCTTCTTGTTGGGATAATGCAGTCCAATATTAAGCAGATGCATCCCTCTGTGAATTATGCATAAGAATCTTTCCACCCTAGGCTGACTTCCATCTACACCAATATAATTTTTCCATCTTAGCTGTACTGACATGATGTAACTTTTAACAGTGTGTCTACTATCACTGTTATACTGGGCCAGAATTTCCTCAAATGTGAGAGGAAGAAGCTGAATTAGATGATTTCTGAAGTCCATTCTTTTAAATCAGAAATATATTCAATATTGTTTTATATATGCAGAAGACAAATCTAGTAGCCAAGTAACTAAGATGAAATAGTCTCAAGATGAGTAATTGACTATGAAAGTTCTTTGGATTATCAGTGGAACATTTATCCCTAATAATGACAATAACAGTGGGTTTTATGAGACATTTATTGAATGCTTCCTACCTTCACCATCTCCATTAAAATACCCATGTTAAGTATCAGAATCGTTTATGCAAAATCAACACAGCCTGTGATTTTCTCAATGCAGCCTTTGGCACAGAAGAATTAACGGAAGCTTACCAATTATTGTTAGGTAAAAGCCAGCCACTAAATCCGCTTCCCAGGAAAGTTTGGAAGCAAAAGGGTCCTCATCTCCAAGGTAGTGTGGCAGGCGCTCATCCTGGGGCAGGGCAGTGTGGTTTAAAGCCATGTTGGTCTCAAGTCTGTAAAGCAAATCAATAGATAACTCAGCAGACCTTAAAATAAGTCAGTTTGAGTCATCTCATAAATGTGCTTCCTGAAAAACAAAAGGCAAGTTCTTAGGGTCCATGGATGATTCTCAGGATCGTAAGGAGCAAAAAGTTTAGCATTTTTCTTAAATGATCTAAATAGGCCAATACTCGATTGTGCAGGCTACAGATTAGCCGGGCCTGCTCACTCTACTCCACTCCTTCTGAGCCTTTGCACACCCCCCCTGAGTGAATGAGGTTGAAGGTCAGTCTGTTCTGCTGCTTCTTAGCAACCTTTGTAAAGACCTGAACTAACAAAAGATACTGTGTGAATGTTGACACTACCGTATATTATTTAATTTGTCAGAAAATAGCATTTTACGATGAGCCAAAGCTTCTCCATTTCCGCTGTTTGGTGAGCTATAGATTTTTGCTAAGGGGAGAAAAAGAGCATTCAGTACAAAGGAACATGGACACTTTACTAACTGAAGCTGCGGGTTGGGAGACTGCCAAGGCTATCCTAAAAGATAAGGCTGCTCCTGGATAGGGAAGAGACACACCCTCCCCCATCCCTAGCTGAGGAGCTACTGACAGTTGATGGCTGCTAGGGAAAGAAAAGCCAGTTTTCTTTAGGATCTGGCCCCTGGGAAATTGACCATGTGCCATTGGATGGGTCTATACAGCTGTGCATATGGGCAACATTATTTAGACTCAGTGGGTTTATTAAATCAGGAAAAGAAGACATGTAGATGGGAGGGATCCAGGAAGAGTTAGAGATGTTGAGTGAGAA